ATCATCATTATCAGAAGAGAACTATTTGCCGCCACTCCACCGGTGTTTGTTCGAGATAGAACCTCAAAATTAAAGGTGACTGGCACGTACTCTGACCAGACAAATCCTATACAGTACGCCTCGAGCGCCCACAAAGCGCGTGCTGGAGACTGGAGAGGCGGCTGTGTACCTCTGAGGGGCACGCGGAGACGCTGAGAGCGAGGCCGATAGCGGCCCTGTTTCTGATAGGACACACGCGCGGAAAGCGGGGACGGCACGACTGAGATCAGCAGGAAATACCATGTAGCCGTCGCCAGTGCGTTCCGTACGCCGAGAGACGGTCGAAGACGGTCTACCATACCATACCAGACGGTCGAAGACGGCGAGAGGGCGGGTACGACCCCCTCTCGCCGTTTCGCTCCTGGTGGAGCCAGCGCGTCTCGGAAAAAATCAACGTGTGCCCCGTTACGAGAAGCAGAGGTTGATATCCGATTTTAAGGTCTTAGGTCAACCGGTGACCTCTGAGGTCAGGTCAATTGCCCCAAGGTACGGTTCAGTTTTTGGTGAATAACTTCACAAAAAACGGCCGCGGAGCCGCGATTTTGGCAGCATCGTGTTCGCCTCGCTTAGGCGAGTCGAGTGATATAGGTACGTTTTGTTTGGGTGAGGCCAACCTACTATGAACGTCAAACCCCTCCCACTTTTTTGCGATAATTTTTAAATGCGTCAACTTTCGTTGACAATATTCTGGCAATGTATGTTTCAGAACCTGCCGAAACTTTTATTACTAAGGTATTTTGACGCCAAACGATTATGGAAGGTACTTCTCATTCACTCGTAATGCTAAGGTCAATTCAGGCCCGGGCAGAGGCTTGCGTTCGGCCATACTCGAGCCCCGCCACCAGCGCCATTTGCTCTAAATGTCATCTACCAGCGCCCGCTACCGCTACCAGCTACCGCCCACCATCAAGCCTGAATGGAGCGAGAGACGCGAGTGACCGGTCGCCGGGCAAGGAGCACCGGAGGGGTAGGGCGGAGCTTAGCGCTGACGTCATTACGTGGCTCCGCCCCATGAGCGCGTAGCCTCTACCCAAACAGCAGATTCGTTCCGTGAAATTTAACATTACGAGTGAATGAGAAGTACCTTTAATAATCGTTTGGCGTCAAAATACCTTAATAATAAAAGTTTCGGCAGGTTCTGAAACACACATTGCCCGAATATTGTCAACGAGAGTTGACGCATTTAAAAATTATCGCAAAAAAGTGGGGTCTCAAGGGGTTTGACGTCCATAGTAGGGTGTTGACCTCAGGTCACGGTCAGGTCAGCGCCCCCAGATCACGAAGTTGGTCGAAGAAGGTCATGTCGCATATCATTCGATTCGGCACTGATGGCCTTCCCTACTCGCTAGCTCAACTTGATCGGGAGTTATGGACGAAAAACTAATATGAGCTTGATGGCATCATAAATGACGTCACGCAAGGTCAGCATTGCAAAACTGACGCATCTAACCTTGCAAGGAGTGCATCAAATCACGAGTATGTGTACTTGAGATAGTTGGAGATCATTCCCGGCGCCAGAATAGCAGTTTTCATTTTTCCCCACTGACTTACGTATAATGGTGAGGTCACGAAAATGACCTGACCTCATATGACCTTTAGGAAAAACCCGAGATATACAAGTTGTGAGACTCGTAATGGACACTAGATCTGCAAGTTTCATTTCCCTGTGAAAGCTCCTCTGGCAGTGAAGGCGTTGCGAAGTTGCGATGTTAGAGTGAATTTGCGAAATATGTGGATCCGCGGATTTCCTAGGGAATCCGCGATGTTCCTAGTGGCTCCACGGATGAGCATCAAGTTTCCCAGATAAACGGGCGGGGATCCGCGGATGAACAAGACTCTTCAGGATAACCGCGAACTCCCTGAAGAGTTGACGAGATCCGCGTACCACCCGGGGAATCCGCGGAGTAACGATTCGTTCTAGTGAGTTTGCGAAGTTCCTATGCGTTTCATGCAGCTATCTTATGACAAGAATGCATGGCATATTGGGTAGATCATCTGCGACTTAACCCTCGCCCGTATTATTGTTTTCTCAGATGCTACCGTATGCGGGGAGGGGTCCGCGGGAGGAGGGGTCCGTTGGAACCCTTGCCGTGTGACCCCTGATCGAGATAGAGCTTTCGCGGAAAAATGGCTTGCTTCCCGTGATTAAAAGAAGCGAATGATGCCCAAACCATACGACCCCAGGCCATTGGTTGACATTCCAGGTCGATTCCAAATAGCATCGGGGACATCCTGTCTTTTTAATCGCCTTTGAGACGCAACAACCTCAATTAATACCAATGCATGATTAAGTTTTCATTTGTTTGTTTGCAAGTACGCAAGGGCTTCGCCTAATTACCGTCAACTTGGTCAAATAACTTCATTCAAACGCGGGTTGATATAGGTATGTACAGTCTGTCTTAAAAGTACCGCGCAAAGTGACGGTGGATCCATCAAGCCTGACTGAGAAAGGGCCTGTTTTAATTTAAAAGTCACCGACCAATTGACCTAGCTAGGGAATGGACAAGGATGTCAATTGCTTCGGTGACCCAAATTTAGCAGGCCCTTGCTCAGTCAGGCTCGATGGATCCACCGTCACTTTGCGCGGTACTTTTAAGACAGACTGTACGTGATGGGTTCTCGTATCGGAGCTCAGTATTGCCCCTTCAGTCCAAATGTTTCCAAGAATACATAGATACTGTGGCGCCGGTCTGGAGCGCCTGAAGGCGCGGTGCTGACCGGTCCGGTCAGGTCGGCTGTGGCAAAAGGGCAAGTTGGGGGGGGGGGGGCAACTGCCCCACCAACTGTATAGGAAGCTTCGCCCCTGGGGAAGAGTGAGCATCACTGATATTCATACATGCTTGCATACATTCACATGATCGCTTAGATGCGCGGTAGCCTTTCCAGCTTTCCATTCATGGTTTCGCCCAAAATGGCTTAGGTACTGTCCATTATTTAATTGCATATCAATATTTGCGAGCGACATCTAAGCGAGACGAAATAATAATTCGCGAACCCACTAGAATGAATCGGTACCTACTCTGCGAATTCCAACAGCAACTGGGAAAACACCAATTGAGGTACGGGCGAGGGTCACAGACGATCTAGCCAATATGCATTGCATTCTTGTCATATGATAGCTGCATGAAACGCATAGGAACCTCGCAAACTCACCAGAATGAATCGTTACTCCGCGGATTCCCCGGGTGGTTCGCGGATCTCGTCAACTCTTCAGGGAGTTCGCGGTTATCGAGTCTTGTTCATCCGCGGATCCCCGCCCGTTTATCCGCGAATATACTACATAGACTTGATGTTCAACCGCGGAGCCACATAGGGACTCCGACTCCGTGGATTCCCTAGGGACTCCGCGGATTCACAGATTTCGCAAACTCACTTTACAGCGACATCTGAAGACTGTGCAGAAGTTCACTTATGACGTCATAGGTCAGTGACCTGACCTGACCCGAAAATGCGGTTGGTGTCAAAAGATCCGGCTTAAATCAAAGGTCAGGTATGCCATGTTTCAGCTCTCTATCGCCTGCGTGTTCGGAGCTATCGCGAAAAAAAACTTGGGGGGGGGGGCGGCACCCGCCCCCTCCCCCCACCCCTCGGCCGGCGAGGGTTAACGGAGGCACTTAGGTGTGTGTAGTCAATTAGTCATGCCTCCTGCTTTACTTGTATGGTTTGGTGCTATTGAGCTCAAAATAAGAAAGCATTGGACCTTCATGCAAGAGGGACATGCAATCAATATTTCAAGCAATTGATGTAAAAAGGACTAAAAGGAGCATTTCCAGAGCTGAAAGGCTTCCACAAAACCTCTCACTGTTGCCTCAGATCGAAAGGAAGGTATTAGAGAGAAGTAGCACGAATGTTCTGTACCTAATTGAACTTCTTGAAAAGAGTGTAAATGAAAATATAAATTTCTCATTTCACCGAAACGTTGCTAACATGACCGGAATAGATAAAGCGCCCGAGTTGATGCCAAACTGATCGGGCGTGAATCAAAGTTTGGCAATGTCAATCGTGTGTTCCCTTCCGCAGTTCACTCTATATAAGCAATCGATTAGGTCGTCAGTGATGTGGCAATCTCAGCCACCTCCCCCCTTGACGGGATGAAAACGATTTATGATTTATGACGTTGAGATGAGAATCATGCCTTCAAAAAATTGTAAAGGGATTCATAAAAAATATGTCGTTATCTATGTCGCCTTGCTTCAACTTTCCAGAGTTAATTGGAAAAAGTAGACTGTGTAACTGTGATACGCTCTATAGTTGGATGACAGAAAAGTTAGTGAGTCACATGACAATAATGAAGTGTGGCCGTAAGATAGCGCTGCCATAAATAACTTGGCTGACAGCACAAGGACAGAGTGCGTCACATTAGTATGACGCACAAGGTGTGCATGATAGTGATTTGATCACCGCGATGGTCTCGAGTAGCCATAACATTAGCGCTTCTCAGGATATCTTATCCGTTATGTAGCTTTTGGCAAAGCCCTTAATATTTGTTTGCTCAGCATCTTGCGCAACATTGAAGTAGGAGGGCGCAGGAAAGGTTGGTGGTAATATCACATTACTTTTGGATGCATCGAGGCACAGACTTCTCTGTATAATCGAGGGAAAAAATGTGTGATAGTTTCAGCTCCTCCCCTTATGCAGCGTAAAATACATATACCTCTTCACGCACACACAGAAATATTGAGCGCAAAAACGGTGTAATTGAAAGTACCAAAAGGAATATTTTTTTTTGTGTAAAATAACTCTGTTTTCTGGGCAAAAGAACACTTATATGTGTGTTTTGCTAGCTTCGGAGTGTTTCACTATTGTGTAGGAGAACCGCTTTCAGTGTAACTTTACCGCGAATCTCGCGTTACATTTACGCACAAATATGTGTTTTTGGTAAAAAGTACCAAAAGGAACACTCGCGTGGTAATCGTACACAAATTCATGGCGGTTAAATTTACTCAAATATGACGGTTGTTACAGTCTTGTGTATTTTTTAGAAGAATGTTTTTGGCATCATACAATGCTTCAATAGAGTCCTACCAACGAAATTAGGAAAGTGACCTGCGTGATTGGACGCTGACGCAGCGCAAATTTTACTTGGCTATTCTGGCGAATTGCGACGGCTGGGCTAGTTTGTCCCAGTGATTCCATGACCTCCAGTCAGCGGTACAGGGTGCGTGCACCCAAAAACCATCGGTTTCCATCGCCGTGACCCATGGAAAGGGAAACTCCATAGTGATGGCTATCACAGAGGCGGTGCTCTATAAAGAATAGCGCCGCGTGTGGCGAGGGTCAGTGTGGTGGGCGCGACAGTCCTGTGGTGACCTCTTCGTCGCTGTCGTCATGGTGATGAGCTTTGGACACGACCGGCCTGCAGTGCGTGAGTACTGACCGACTATCTGACCCCATTGACCTCAGACGGCCGAAAGCAGAACATGCTCGTGATAGAGCATTTCGTCATTTAACCCGCGCCGGGCCGGGGGGTGTTTGAACACCCCCCCCCCTGCGGTTTTTCCCAGATATCTCAAAAACGGCAGCGTGAAGCGCCGCCATTTTTGTCACAACTGTTCGTGCATCTTTTCCGCACATGTTGTGAAAACTTCAGACCCAGGTCACCTTAGATCAAGGCCGTATAAGAGAGGTAAAATCATCCCGCGATTTCCAATGGACCGGTCGCTAAGCATTAGCGTGACGTCACTGGTGGAGACCGCGCGGCGCCTGGCTCAAGCCGTACGTCTGGTACATTTGGCACTTTATCGTTGTTATTACTGAACGTAACGACAACTAATGACTCTTAATAACTTTTTTACCCACCCAAAGCTGATTTCCTTGCCGATACATTGCCGACCCGAGCCCCAGGGTTGACAATCTTGGGATATGGGTCGGATGGGCGACCTCGTGACGGGAGAAGGAACGATTGCAATTGTTGTGTCTCGCACCGCCGATTGAATTCTCTATCTGCACCCGGACGGGGGGGGGCTGGGGGCACGTGCCCCCATCGGATCAGGGGGCCTCTCGGGCCCGAGGGGCCCTGCGACGCCAATTGGCGGCTGAGGGTCCACGCTGGCATTTTCGACTCAGAAGGGCCCCACAAGGTTCGAAAGAACACCGTATGTGCTCCGAATAGCCACACTTCTCTCCATAAGAGCCACACACCGGCTTTTTGTTGTTCCTTGCCGGCCTCTCAGGGTCCATTGGCGACCTCTGAGAGCTACTTGCCGGCCTCTGAGGGCATTTACCGGCCTATCAGGGACCAGCAGTTCTAAGGGTTCCACACACGCCTGTGATGACCCCCTAGGCCCTAACCCAATGGTTGAAGGCCCCCACAACGGCGCCTGCGAGGGACCTCACCGGCGGCTGTGGAAGCCCCAAACCGGTGCCCAGCTGAGGGCCCCACACTGCCACCTCTGAGTTCAACCGGCACCCCTGAATGAGGTCCCGAAACCAGTGCTTCTTAAGGCCATATATCGGCGGCTTTGGGGGCTCAACGCCGGACTACCTCTGACGGCCTCAGACGGGACCTGCGCATCGGACGGCCACTCACCGGTGACTTTTGAGGGCCCCACACCGACGACTCTGAGGGCCCCACTGGCGTCTGAGTGTACCTTGCTGGTCTGTAAGGACTCCACAGGGCTCCCGAAGGCTCCGCAGACCTCTTGAGAGCCCCTTGTCGGTCTTTGAGAGCTCCTGTCGGCCTGTAAAGGGTTCGAGCCAGCAGCTCTAAGGGTCCCACACCCGACTGTGACAACCCCACACTGCAGTGTCTCTGAGGGCCCACAACGGCAACTGTGATGACCCTCACCGGCGCCTCTGAGGGCCCACAGCGGCACCTCTGGGGGCCCCGCACCAATGCCTCAGAGCCTCACACCGGTACCTGTGAGGGCCCACACCAGTGCCTCCAAAGGCTTCATAACCCGCGCCCGGCTGGGGGTCCTGGATTTCCACGCCCTGCTGGGGGGGGGGGGGTGTTTGAACACCCCCCTTGTAACTCGGCTCCTGGGCCACGTAGCGATACGCGGAAGGCGGCGTTCGAAAGAGCGTAAAAAATAATGACGAAATAACTTCGGTCAATTTTTTGGTCAGGTCAAAGGTCAGGTCACCAGAGGTCATTGAAGGCAAAATTTCGCCGATTTCCAGGTCGAATGTCGAAAATTTCCAAGAAGCCAACGCATAACTCGGGAACCAATAGAGCTACAGCGCCGCGGAAAAGCGCATTCGATAGCCTTATTAACGCCCTTTCTGAGTAATTCTCTCAGATTTGACCTAACGTCAACGGTTTTGCCTGCAGGGGGCAAAAACTGCAAAAATAACCGATTTTTTCGAAAACAGTTTTTCTGCAATAACTTTTGACCCAAGCCTTGTACGAGCTTACTTTTACCGGCATCGTGTTCCTCTCGTCAATACGCATCGAATGAACTATAACTTGACCTTGAAAGGTCAACTTGAAAATTTGACCTCAGGTCAAGGTCATGACCTGACCGGAAAGGGTCATGTTGCATATCAGTCGATCCGTATCGTCGAGCTGAACACATCTAAGGAGTTTTCATCGCTCTAGCATGCCTCTATCAAAAGTTATTTGCGAAAAACTGTTAGATACCATTCGTGACCTAAGATGACCTCAGGGCATAAACAAGGGTCACGGACACCATTTTCAAGTTCAGTGTGTCTAAACCACTTGTAATTCGGTGTTTGGGAGTGTTTATAATGTCTTTCATCCAAAAGAGGCGCATTTCAATTTTCTCCCATTGACTTATAATGGGGAGGTCGCAAAATTGACCTGACCTTAGGTCATCGATATCAAAATTCTGAGATATACATTTTGTACATGCTATTGCTCTTAGCAATCGCTGAAAGTTTCAAAGCGATCGGTCACTCGGTGTAGCTATGACAGACATTGAAAGTTTTTATGAGGTGAGGTCACTTCAAGTGACCTGGTGACCTGACCTTTAATGACCTTGGTCTGAAATTTTCACAACATGTGTAGAATTGATGTATGATAAGGTGTACCAAAAACGGCGGCGCTCCGCCCGCCGTTTTTGAGATATTCGCGAAAAACCACAAGGGGGGGGTGTTCAAACACCCCCCCCCCCCCCAGCAGGGCGCGGGATAACCGGCGGCCCTGAGGGCCCTATACACGGGTGATTTTGAGGGGCCCACCGAAGGCACCACACAATCCCTTAGTCTCGCTGAGCTTCTATCCCAATCCCATACCGGCTTCTATCCCAATGCCGGCTCAACTAATTAGCAGCCCCCTCCCTCCATGGGTCAGCAGCGCCGCGCCGGTGCCGGGGGCCAGCGCCATGGGGGCGGCAGTCGGCCACGCGCACTCAATGGTTAGCGCTTAGCACCGGGGCTAGCGCACGCCCGGTGTGTTATCGGCCGTGAGCCGCTCCAAAACGGCTGCAGTAACTAGTCGATATAGGTAGTAAGCAGATGCAGAGATGCAGGTGGATTGATGATCGGCAAGCTTGTGTGTTTTACGAGGGTGAAGGGTCGAAGTCGGCTGCTAAGTGGTGAGCGGATTTTATCAGATTCTGGTTCACCATGACCTTTGTCCGGGTCCTCGTACCCTGACGCACTCTTGGAGAGCCGAATCACAGCAAAAATCCATCCACCACTGTATCTATACGGCCTACGCTTTTCTGAAAACGTCCGCGTTTGGCCTTCTACGGGCCCGGCCGGCCGGCCCCGATTGGCGGTCCTCCAGTGACGTCACCGGTAGTGTTAAGCTGATTGGCGAATAATACACGGGCGGTCCCGGGATGACAGCCCCTGCCTTAGATCAGGTCAACAGATCGCGCCAAGTGACCTCACCTCAGAAAAAATAAGAATGTTCGTCATAGCTACACCGATTGATCGATTGCCTTGAAACTTTCAGCGATTGATAAGAGCAACATTATCTATAAAATGTTTATCTCGGAATTTTGATACCGGTGACCTAAGGTCAGGTCAATTTTGCGACCTCTCCATTTTACCTAAGTCAATGGGAGAAAATTGAAAAGCGTCTGTTTTGCACGAACGCTATTCTAGACACTCTCAAACATCGAGATGTAGGTAAAATTGACACACTGAACCGGAAAATGGCAACTGTGACCCCTCGTTATGTCCCCGAGGTCATCTCAGGTCACGAACAGAATTTAACAGTTTTTCGCTAATAACTTCTGATAGAGACGTGCTAGAGCGCTGAAAACGCCTCAGATGTGTTCGGCTCGACGTTGCAGATCGACTGATATGCAACATGACCTTTTCCGGTCAGGTCATGACCTTGACCTAAGGTCAAATTTTCAAGTTGACCTTTCAAAGTCAAATTATAGTTCATTTGACGCGTCTCGACGAGAGGAACACGATGCTGGCAAAAGTAATGTCATGGCTCTTTTGAGTCAAAAGTTATTGCCGAAAAAATGTTTTTTTTTTGTAAAAACGGCTATTTTTGGAGTTTTTGCCCTCTGGAGGCTTAACCGTTGACCTGAGGTCAAATTTGAGAACATTATCCAGAAAGGTCTGTAAAAGGGCTATCGAATGCGTTTTTCCGCGGCGCTGTAGCTCTATCGGTTCCCGAGATAGCCGTTGGCAGTTTCCAAAATGTTGGAATAGTCAACATTTTAACTTTGGTGACCTCTGGTGACCTGACCTTTGACCTGACCCAAAAAATGACCGAAGTGTTTTCGTCCTTATTTTGGACGTTCTTTCGATTGCCGCTTACCACGTGTCACTACGTGGCCCAGGAGCCGAGTTAGAAGGGGGGGGGGTGTTCAGACACACCCCCCCCCGGCCCGGCGCGGAATCTCAGAGCACCGGCCCGGCGCGGGTTAATTCCTATTTCCTATCCACTTTTAGAGCCCTCAGCTCATGTGCAATATCTGTTCGAAAGTAATACACCTTTTTGCATTTGAATTCAACAATTCGCCATAACCGTTTGAGGAGCTATTTCGATAATCGGCATTGAGCACAACTATTCCGGCGTGGTGTGTTTCATTTCAGCCATTCAGCAAAACAGATTGAACACTGAAATGAGCGATCCGCAAAACAGTTTAACACTTCGCCAGCATTCGGCTTTGAGCGAGCTAGCTCGGCATATGACGACGAAAAGTTTCGACCATTGACGATTTGTTTTGCACAATGTTGAACCATTTTTTCAATGTCGAATTATAGAGGAAGATCGCCGAATAGTTTTGCACAATGGTGATTCTTTGTGACCAACCGACCATTTGTAGCGCCACCTATACCTATGGCGAATGTGTACAAATGTTTTGCCCAATGGTCAAAAGCTAACGCAAAAAGGTGTAGTTCGTGGCTTGGCTACATTCACATGTTAATAACTTTTTCTAGTGCAGCTAGTAGTTCATTTCAGCCTTTTCTTTCTTTTAACTAATTGTATGTCAGTTGGATTCACTTAAGCGCACATACGCTTTTGTAAACGTCTCTGTCAGTGCCACCCGAGCGTTTTGCCGCAGGTTCCATTCAATTGAAGCTTTTATCTTTTATTACTCTCCCTAGCTAATTGCGAATCATACCGAATAAAATGAACAAACAGTGGAAAGCAGATGAAAAGCACACGCTGCGCCACATTTGCCTTATGTTTTATTTTTTTTTTCTATTGGTCTTCGCTTGATTGAATCAAAATAAGTTATTCGCAAAAATGGAGATGTTCTTTCTCGTTTTCTTTCTTTCTTTCTTTCTTTCTTTCTTTCTTTCTTTCTTTCTTTCTTTCTTTCTTTCTTTCTTTCTTTCTTTCTTTCTTTCTTTCTTTCTTTCTTTCTTTCTTTCTTTCTTTCTTTCTTTCTTTCTTTCTTTCTTTCTTTCTTTCTTTCTTTCGTTCTCTCTCTCTCTCTCTCTCTCTCTCTCTCTCTCTCTCTCTCTCTCTGTTACTATCTTCCTTTTTTTCTCTCTAATTCTCTTTCTCTCTCCCTCTCTTTCAGAAGCATTGCCTCTCTCTCTCTCTTTAAGCTTTTATGAGCAATGAAACAATACGCGTGCATCATCAGTGACATGTAATCTTCAACGGTACTACCCTGGTGCAATGACCGGGAATCCTCTGCTTGAACTAGTAAAGCCCGCTCGTCGATCTAAGAACTGTCTGATTAGTCGCGTTCAGAGCTACGCAGGCCCATGGGGTCATCAGCGTCAGCACAAGACGCATTTCTTTTGTCCGTGCCCACAGTGTAATCCCACTGTTTACCCAAGGGGCTGTTGTTTGATACGTCCTTGATGGCTGTGGTGTAAACCTATCATGTTGAATTATGACTTTTAATTGTTATGCAACGCGTTGTCTAAGACCCATGGTTATTGTCAATCTCCGCTGTAAGCGGGCAGAAGCTTTATTGGCAATCAAGTTGACCATTTCGAAACATGATATAACACCTCTGCCTGAGCAGTGAATAATCTGATTTGATTGGCTGACAAAACCAGTAATTATGACTGAATACAGACAAACAAGGCATCAGTATAATTACGCCTTTCAGAAGCATTGCCAGCCGACACGCGTCGAAGACGCATGTGTCTTTGCATCGGAATGCATGTCTCTCGCTTCGAGGGGAGGATATCGAAATACTCTTCGATAGAATAAAAGAAAAATGATGAAAGGAATTCAGAAGTGTGCTAAATTTTGGCGTCACGTTCACCATATCCAGGGGAAAACTGAAAATGGAGCACGTTTTGCTATAGAACTTCCAAGGTATTGTAGGTTGCAGGCTTTGCCAAAGCTGCCGCACCCGCGCTGACGCCGAGCTCGGTGTTTCAGACGTCCAGCTGTGGCTGCTGGCGATAGCCGGCTGTCTGGCCGGTGGTTCTGCCGATCTGTCTCCGCTGCTGTCTGCTCCCACCGCCCACTACTTCAACAGCAGCGGGCCCTCCCTCCCCTCCAACACCAGCGGGCGCAGCTGGCGGGAGCCGCGCGCCGGCCGGGTGCGCCGCTTCATCTACTTCCCCGAGGGCTCAACCATCACCGTCTCCGTGGACTTTGTGATCCCGCTGGGTGACTCGGGCGCCTCGCTCACCTTCTCGCCGTCGATCACGTTCACGCCGACCACGATCGCACGTGCCACGTACGGCGAGCACGGCCCCGGGGCGCGCAGCTTCGCCGCCGACCAGGGCCGCCTGTTCGACACCATCCAGGACGGCTTCAAACAGTGAGTACTGAGTGCTGAGAGGGATAAGTGCTAAGCACTGATAACTGAGTTCTGAGTAGCGAGTAATGAGTAACGGGTAGTGAATATTGAGTAGTGAGAAGTGAGAAAAGAGAAGTGAGAAGTGAGTGCTGAGTACCGAGTGCTGAGTGGTGAGTATTGAGGAAGGGGTATTGCGTACTGAGCGCAATTACTCCAGCCTGCCATAGACCTGCATCCTTGCCTTCGTTTTTTTTTTAAATAAATTTAGTCCGAACCTTTTTGATTGGAAGGATTCACAAGAACAGATCCACCGCTAAGCGAAGCTTGTTGCGGTGACCCTGCCCTCTACCCTCCGATCGCGCAATTCCAGTTCTATGGCAGAATTTAGAGTCCAAAGTTTAACGTGACGCACATAGCCGCGCACATAGCCGCGCACAGCCGGTCCCCTCACTGACTTCGCCTGGCTACGGCCTGCCACCAACCGCAACCATACCTGTCAGGAGACCCATAAATGTCAAGCGTCCGTCGCGCTTCGAACCCGTACTGTTATAACCGGGAACGCGTGCTCTCACTACGCGGAGTCCTACGCTCTACCAACTGAGCTACGGGACCGGCCACGGAACCGCGTTTCTGAATTTTTTTTTTTTATCAAAAATCGTTCTCTCTGATAACATATTTAGAATGATATTTTTGCAGCTGGCCTCTTCTCAAACCCGTCATTGGAATATTGCATTAAAACAAAAACAAAAAGTACTTTATTCTATGCTTAGATTGACCACATGCGCAATGATAGCGATACCTTACAATTTCCGAAAAAAAGCACATCGGGCTCTTGAGATTCATTGCAAATATAGTAGCACTCGTGTGATCGTGTCACTGTTTCAACATCGATATTTTTTTTTATAAATTTAGCTCGAATGTTTGAATGAACGGATTGACAGAGCCAGAGCCAACGCTAAGCAGAGTTTGTTGCGTAGATCCCGACCCCTACCGTCCAATCGCGCAATTCCGGGTAACGGGAGAATTTAGATGCCAAAGTTTAACGTGCCCTTCAAAGCCGGACACGGCCTGTCCCACTCAACTGACTTCAACTGGCTGCGGCTGCTCTCACCAACCGCAGACCATCCCCGTCAGGAGTCTCAAATATCGAGCGCCGGAGCGTCTCGAACCCGGGCTCTCACTACCGGGAGTCCGATGCTCTACCAACTGAGCTACGGGACAGATAAGAAGGTGGCATTCGTAAAATTTCAGCATCGAGGTGTGTGGTTTCAGTTTCGAGTTTTTTTTTCTCGAAAATTTCAGTTTCTAGTATTCTGGTGGTACGATATGCGCTATTAAGCCACCAGGATGAAGCGTCAGCACTGAGACCACCTCTCGCCATGACCAGCAAGTCTCTATCGGCATCGCCGTTTGATATCAGCAGTCACACTTCCGCCCCGGGCGGTCAAGTGGGCCGTCAAGCTGGGGGTACAAGACAAACGTGCGAGCGTTATCGGAGCTGGCCGTCGGCCGAGGGGGGGGGGGGTCCCTCTGACTCGGGCCGGGACTCCGACACTCAGCGCTCGGGGGTGGCGCTCCTTCCACTTGAAGGCTCCGCGAGTTTCGTGCGGAAGTTTCGTGCGGAAAGTCCACTCAGCACCCCTTTCGCCTTTCACGCGCAGTGATTGTTGAATGTTCGCACTCATTATTTATAAACTAAAATATCAAAGGGCATTCCCAAAAAAGCGCAAAGTCGGTCACATCTGAGATGTGCCTAAACTTTCATGTCGTTTGACCGGAAAATTACACTGAGGACAGGATTTATGCCTTGATTCGTCCTTGTTACAGCAGTCGGATTTAGTGTGCTTATCGAGACCCCATTATGTTTAGATAATAGTGCCAGTACCAGCCTAAGTCCGACTATCCTGCAGAGTATATCAATCTGGGTTGCAACACATTGAAGAGAAGGATTAGGCACTATCAGAAGCGATGACAATCAGCGTCACCAACGCTGTGAGGGCTTGCTGTAATCCGCCATGTCTTCTGAGCAGAGAAGGCCACTGAAGGCCACTCACACTGAATGAAAGTGTCCTGTGCCCGTCTCCTAGTGCGGCAGTGCGTTTTGGGCTTTCTGATAAGCTTACGGACGTCACGAGCGATGGTAGATTTGAGATGATACCTACGTATTTCGGCTTGTCAGATACTAACAAATCTGTCACCAGATCTCGAGTGATAAACTGTAATTTTGCGGCAATGGGCAATGAAATGCTGACGTTTTAAACCTTTAGAAATGTTTGGAACAGATATTCTATGGCCAGAGCGGTAGCAAAACTATGCAATAGAGTTCTTTGCGCCTACATTTAAAGACATATTTTGTCATGAAAATGTCAACGAAAAGCCATCTGTCAAAATTGATGCTCCAAGTTTATCCAGCCGCTGCACTCGTTGACCACTCGCTCTTTATCGCCTGGCAGGGTGGGTCTGGACGGCAGCGCGTGCCTGCAGCGCCTGGTCTGTGAGGTATCCGGAGCACCGCGCCACCAGGACGGCCTGCTGGGAGAGGTGGTCAACACCGTCCTCCTGTGAGTAGCCACAGGTGTTCCTGTGAGTAGATACCGCCCGGTGAGTAGCACCGTCCTCCTACGAGTAGACTGATCCTGAGAGTAGACACACAGGTGTTCCTGTGAGTATAAGACACATGTGTTCCTGTGAGTAGATACCGCCCAGTGAGTAGCACCGTCCTCCTACGAGTAGACAGTGCCGTGTGAGCAGGCATGAGTGTACCTGTGAGTATAGACACTGCCCGCCTGTAGACACCAGCGTTCCTGTGAGTGGACAGTGCTCAGAAAGAACACATGTATGTACCTCTGTATCTGTGCACAGTGCACACCGTTCTCAAATAAACCTGAGCGAAGCGCTGCGACCGTGAATTGTAGACTGTTTTTGGATGGAAAGTATCAAGCGCCGTGTTTGATGATTTTACGAAAGATGACGCCATAATGCTTAAATCCCTCTGATCTTTACAGACAAGACTATGCCGATGTCAATGAGAATATGGTGGGCACGGACCTCACTGTTTTCAAAAACTCATCAAGTTCATACGACAAACCAAAAAAGTAAGTGCATTTATTTTTATGTGATATATCTGTCCCCTATCGTATTTTTTTCCATTTCTTACGGTTTCATATCGATTTCTGTTTTGTGTTCTGACTTTATTTAATAGTAACCTGTTTTATTAAGGTTGTGAATTTTGTAACTAAAAGGCTAGTTAATCCGTTGGTGACAGTTTATGTTAACAGCAAGGTAATATAAAAGGCAATTAATTTCTAAGCAATACGTGATTATGTCATTTTTACCGTTTGCTTATACATCGAATTCGGAAAGTGATTTGCTTATTTTTTGCCTAGTGAGCCTATTTCTGTTAATTCGACTGCGGGATTTAATAATGTCACACCAAATGTCTGTCCATCGCATCTTTAGCGGTATCATACGATAAAGAAGTGGTCGATGTCAGACAACAGCCTACAACAGTAGTTTCTGTGGTGTTCGGTTGAACATCTTCCATTCATCATACGAGGGTTCTCGCATTTTTGGTGACAGTTTGCCAGAAATTCTCCGTGGTTTGGTCTCAGGAGAACTCATGGCACGCCGTCATATCGCTGCCGAGCACCATGCCCTGGACGGGGCGGACTGTGCTGAAGCCACGTAATTCACTCACAAATCAGAGCAAATAGAAAAAGTCCACTCACCTTTACAGCTCTATTTGTATCAATGTGTGCTCTTTCAATGAAGTTATATTGCCCCTAATCTTACCTGATTATCTGTCTCAATTCCGTGAGAAGTGCACCATAAATCTAAAATCTCAAACCCTAAGCTCAGCTGCCATGATAGCGAAAGCATGGTACGACCTTGTCAGATATTCGGTGATTGACATGACAGCTGAGCACTGAGCAGACTCCAAATTGGGATGTGGGCGAAGAAAAAGGCCACTTCACAATTACAAGTTTGCACATTTTACCACATTTTATACAACATGCAGCTTTCATCATTCTCTGCGGGCTTGACACGAGCTGACACTTTCGAAATGCAACACAAATACCATTGAAAAAGAAAAAAACATGGAAGCATGCAACAGCAAACAAGACATTCTATAAAAATAGTGAAGATCATTTTAACTTTTCCTGCAAATCTGTCGGAATCCTTATTTTGATGCACTAAAAGTGAAAATTTATTGCTATTATTTGTCTTTCAAAATGGAGCGTGTTCTAGTCTAATTTCGAACTGACTTCATTTTCAGTTTCCGTTCGGATGACGTGAAGGCAGCTCGGTTGCACGGCAGCTCACATGGCAACTGTTCAGAGAGGTTCAGCACGTGTCCAGTCTCCATGTTCAACATCTTCTGAGACTGGAATGAAAGACGCAGAGCTTCAAAGGTCGTTTTAGATGAATTTACTTATAGGTTCAAACAAAACGGGTCGTTGTTATGTTGTTATAGCTTGCTCAGACGTGTGAGGCTTGTGTTGTTTTGTTACTTGTTGAAACGCTGCTAATAAAGTTAAAAAAATTATCTGCTTTTTATACCTGTTTCAAAATGCAACCTACTCGAAGATTTAAGGTCAAATGCTTAACCCGCGCCCCGCTGGGGGGCAGAATCTGCCCCTTCACGTTTTTCGCCAATAACTTCTAATCGCGTTAAGCCAGAGACGTCATACTTTCAGTTCATTATCATACATCAATTTAACACGTTTCCTGAAATTTTGCGAAATCCGTCGGATTTTTTTTTTTAAAGAAAATGACGTTTAACCCGCGCCCCGTAGGGCTACCGGCGGACCCTACCACCCGTAGGGGGGGGGGGGGGCCGTTTCGGCCCCCCCCCCTAAGATCTCGGAAAGTTACCGGCCGATTTTCAAAATTCAAACGGCGTTTGATAGCCCTACCCGGGAACTACCTTGTGACCAAATTTCATTGACCTAGGTCAAACCGATGACGTCACAGGTCAGATCAAAGGTCAGATTTTCACCGTTCACAGGCAATTCAAGAAATGTGCTGTGAAATCGAGTAAATTGGTAATTTATTGAAAACCATCGATGGTATATTGTTCGTCAAACACATACTTTGCTATCTGAGGTCACTGATACTAGGTCAGGTCACAGCGAGGTCAGGTCACCGGGGGTCACAATATGAATGTGTCGTGTGATACATGTTTTATGGTCCATTTTACATAACAAATGCGATTATGTGGGTTAGGCAGCCTTTGGGGCCAGTCTAGGTCACGTTTTGGTGAAGGTCAGGTCAAGGTCAGGTCAAATTAGGTCAAATTTCAAAGTTGATATTTTTGCATAAAATGGGTATCCATTCGATGCAGCTCGTCACGGGGAGTCTAATGGTGGTCTTTGTTTTGCTCTACGAGTTCTAGAATTGCCAAAAATTGAGTTTGAAAATTTGACGTCATCATTTTTGAACAGTTTTTTTTTTCGCTATAACTTGGCCAAAAAACGAGGTATCGATCTGAAATTTGGTATGTAGATAGAAGACGGTAGGTACTATCACATATATACCGTTTTTTTTTCGAAACTCAAAAAACTTTTTGGATTTTTTGGCTAATATATCCAAAAAAATGCTTTTTTAATTTTTGGGGATCAAAACTCAAAAATTTCAAAAATCCGAGATAGCAGATTTGTAGCCCTGTCAATTCTACACCTTTTATGTCTTGATCATTTTTCTGAATCTTCAAAGCTGTAGGCCTGACAGGTCTTCTCGCGAAGGTCTTTTTTCGGTCGAAAATGACAGAACATGACGTCACTCTGACGTCATTTGTGGCCAACCTATCACAGTCTCTGGAAAAAAAATTTTGGTCTTAATGTGTAAAATTGATGCCCGGAGGGGTCCTGAAAGTTTGGTGGCGATATCTCCAGCCGTTTAGGAGATATCGACCGAAAAGGACAGGGGGGGCCGTTTCGGCCCCCCTACGGGGCGCGGGTTAAGTGACGTCATGTCCGCCATTTTTGCCTAAAAAACGGCAAAATTGCCAACGCCGCTTAAATCTTCATTTTCTTAAAGGAATGAAGACGTAACAAAAAAGACTATACGTGATTTTACTTTGTCTATCAAATGGCTATCTCGTTTTTTGAAAATTTTGGACTTTGGCCCAATTAAAAAAAAACTGACTTTTTTTTGGGAAAATAATAATACCCCTCGCCGGCCGAGGGGGGGGGGTGCCGCCCCCCCCTATAGGTTTTTTTTTCGCGATAGCTCCGAACACGCTAGCGATAGAGAGCTGAAACTTTGCATACCGGACCTTTGATTCAAGCCGGATCTTTTGACACCAACCGCATTTTTGGGTCAGGTCAGGTCACTGACCTATGACGTCATAAGTGAACCTCTGCACGGTCTTCAGATGTCGCCACTTCGCAACGCCCTCACTGCCAGAGGATATGTCACAGGGAAATGAAACTTGCAGGATGTAGTATCCATTATGAGCCTCACAACTTGTATATCTCGGATTTTTCCTAAAGGTCATATGAGGTCAGGTCATTTTCGTGACCTCACCATTATAAGTCAATGAGGAAAAATGAAAACTGCTATTCTGGCGCCGGAAACGATCTCCAATTATCTCAAGCACACAGAATCGTGATTTGATGCACTCGTTGCAAAGTTAGATGCGTCGCTTTTGCAATGTTGACCTTGCGTGACGTCATCTATGACGTCATCAAGGTCATATTAGTTTTTCGTCGACAACTCCTGATCAAATTGAGCTAGCGAGTCGGGAAAGCCACCAATGGACTCAGGAAGACCTGCCGAATCGAATGATATGCGACATGACCTCTTTCGACCAGCTTCGTGACCTGGGGGTGCTGACCTGACCTTGACCTGAGGCAAACACCCTAAGTTGACCTGACCCGAACAAAAAGTATATCATTCGACGCGCCTGAGCGAGGCGAACACGATGCTGCGAAAATCGCGGCTCTGCGTCCGTTTTTTTTTTTGCGGAGTTAGTCACCAAAAACTGAACCGTACCTTGGGGCACTTGACGTGACCTCAGAGGTCACCGATTGACCTAGGACCTTAAAATCGGGTACCAATCTCTGCGTCTCGTAACGGCGCACACGCTCGTTTTTCCGCCACGCGCTAGCTCTACCAGGGGCGAAACAGTGAGGAGGGGGTCGTACCCGCCCCCCCCCCCTCGGCCGGCGCGTATGTAGAAAACCAATAGGTCCGGCGAAGGATAAAATCCAAATTTTTGAGTGTATCGAAAAACGGGGATATATGTCAGAGGAGTGGTCTATGTGCACCTACATACCATTTTAGAAGAATCGGCTAAAAAATATGGAAGTTATTCAAAATTTTATGACATCACGACACACAAATTTTTGAAAAATAATGATTTTTTTTGGAAGTTGCAGCCCTCGTATGAAAACAAAAAATAGCACTATTCGATTCGCCGTGAAAAAACTGCATCAGATAGACACCTTTTTAAGTCTTAACAACTAACTTCAAAATTTGACCTCAATTGACCAGACCTTGACCTGACCTTGACCTGAAATTCATCCAGATGTGGTTCATATCACTTATTGAGTGCGCCTATTGAATTCTATGAATAAAATGACCCATAAAACATGTGTCGCACATGCCCTTTTCTATATTTTGTTTTTGGTGACCTGACCTGACCTTGACCCTGACCGTTGCATGATATTGTATGCAACGAATATTGTCTTGGTAGCCTAAGAATACGTTTTGGGCAATCAGTCTCAGTCCATTCTTCGGCAACTACGGTGCAAGGCCGATACTGTGGAAACTTGCATTTTATACCCTTGACCTGACCTTGACCTGACCTCTGACCTACTTAAGCAAAAAAATGGGCTCTTAAGATCCGCCTTGTTGAGAACTTTTGATTGCCGTTTTTCCCGTCTTTCTACGACCATCGGTTCGGAAGCTAGACAGGGGGGGGGGGCAGAATCTGTCCCCCCTAGCAGGGCGCGTATGGCTGAATAGCCCAGCGGGGCGCGGGTTATAAGAGACTAAATGCTTCAATGATATATGAATGGGATTGTTGGAGTTCAGGCTATATCTAGCTGATCGACTGGAATTATGAAAAAGACTTTTGAGCTGGTTGGGGGTTAGGCCGTAGTCCGACGCACATATGACTTTAAATCAGTCGATTCTTTATCATTCAGTTTGGGTGCAATATTTGGTTTTGCTATCCACGCTAAGATGGAGGATTGGGACAAGGATAATTTTATTAATCATCTGTAATCGAGCAAATTCGTCACCATAACAACACTAACGACATATAACGCCAGATAGTTTCAAATGAGGTGATTCAAGATATTTTATTACGACAGAAATCAATAACGATATTGATGTCCATTGTTGCAGTGCAGCGTAGGTCATACGTTCCACAGCATCTTCTTTCACTTACCCAAGCTCAGTAGTCGCATCAAAGGCCAATAAGAGAAAAAACGTGATTTTTTGTTTGTTTGTGCGGCTTGCTATCACAGAGCCTCACTCGACAGGTCGTCACAAATGTGTTTGATAGCGCGCTTCGTGCGCGTAGGAGTGGGCCATTGACCAAAGGTCCGGTACACATGTCGTGAACAGATCTTTCCTTGCGCCAAAAGCCACCGCCCTGGCTAAAGGTCGTCCACAGAGATTAGAAGCAGCTAAAAATGTGCCAGTAACCAGCAAAGAGGGACAGCGGCGCTCTGTGGCTCTCCGATGACGGATCGTCATCCTATCCTGCCCCGGTAGCCACCGATAGGACGCCCTCTTCCCAGCACAATGACGGCTGTGATGCACGGCGACGTCTGGCTGAATGGGTTCATTTGCCGTCTGAAGTGCTGCACAATGATGATCGGTGGTGTGAACAGCTGGGAGTGAGTGCGGAGATGAATGGAAATAAAGAAGGGACTGTTGTAAGCGAAATAAAGCGTAAATAGTTGCTGCAACATGCGTTTAATTGGATTTTCGTCCTGAGCTTTTGGAAAATGTTAAATAAGGGGTGCACTGCACGCGAATTACGAAAGCACCAGCTAATCCACCCTGCCGGTGACCCGCTCCACGCCTGAAAGAAAACCGGGGGTCGCAGGCTCCTCGTCACAGCTGAATATACATCAAGGTGACGCAGCTCCGTCTTCCGCACGCGGCTCGAATACCACATGGCACAGTGATGCAAATGGGGTTTACGAGTGGCCATAAATACCAAAAAGGCCCGAATTTCAAGTTCACCTAATCGAATAAATCGTAATATGGCCAGTAAGGCAAATGTTTGGGGTGTCTGAAAAAACATAATTTTCATGTTTTTGTCAAAAACCGGCCTCGTGTATGATTGTCAGAAGTCGTGACATTTTCTATGTGTGTCGTAAAATGACTGTCAGATACTCGCAAGTTCAAACGCCGCTAGCGTGCGTTCATTTCATACAAATGGCAAAAATTATACATGGCAATGATCATCAAATCCTGCTGCTTCTAATGCGTGGTCACAAAAAGCCGCATCTCTTTTGGTTTGGCGTTAATCTAACTATTTGTCATCATGTTGCAATCGCAGTTTTTACTAAAAAAAATATTTGC